TTTGAAATTTTAATTAATATTCTGTTAACATCAATCTAATTATATAAAAATATAGTAAAATTCAAAATCTCATAAAGTATCTCTTTGGATTAGATTTACACTGTTTCTCATATTAATTTTATCATTATTTTATACTTAATAATACCATAATTGAGATTATAAATTTTTATTTTTTTAATAATAAAATCCTATTTGCTTAAATAAACAATCTATTTATTGATTTTATTTTATTTTTATCTTTAAGTATAATTAGTATATTAAAGGAAAAGAAAATATTGATAAATTACTAAGAGAAAATTATAATGAGATGTATTTTTAAAGAATTATTTCGATAAATAGAGTTTATACTAATATTATCTATATTTTATTACTGAAATACTCATTTTGTTAATATTATCCTTAATTGATGCTAATTTCAAACAATCTTTATCTTATATTAAATAGAGGATATCATTTAAATATAATAGATTTTAGTTACTTTTTGGAAATTCGTATAGGTAGAATCTCAATTTTTATTCAGTTATCCCTCTAAACATATAGACAAAATATCAATTGCATTAATCTTACTATATTTTTATGTCCTTATATTCAACTTATTTTCTAAATTAATAATTCTGTATATATTATTAATTTTGATAAAGCTTATGAATTTCATATTTTAAGTTGATTGAACAAAAGAATATAAATATATCTTGACTTTCAATTTTTTAGTAGATTAATAAAAAATACTTTCTAATCAAAACATTTTTATATAAAACCAATCTTTAATGGAAATACTTCCAATAAAACAATTTTATATAAATAATATTAAAGAAATGATATTTTAATAAAGATATGTAATATTCTATATGATCAATTTAATTTTAAATGTATGTAATATTTCTATATTGAAATATTAATAAAAAAATAATGGAAAAAATAATAATTATATGGAGTCAACATTTTTTCATCAAAATTTGTATGAAATTATGCATATTTTTTTATTTATAAATTAATTAATGTATTAATAGAATTAGCTAAAAGAATTAAGTGAAAATACTATTATAGATGCACCTACAACATAATATCCTAAGAGATAGTTTATATTAGAAGGTCGTATAGGATCAGGTTAATTAGGTCCTGTTTATTAAGCCACAGCTGTTTAGTGGGGTGTAGTTTAAAGTAAAATTGCTTTAAAATTTCAAAAATATATAAAAGATGAAGTTAAATAATTATACTAACAAGTAATTGATTATTAGAATAACTAAAATGTTAATTCTTAAAATTTTATTAGAATATTTGATTGGTTTGATTATTAAGAATATAAAGTTATAGTTATGGAAATAGTATATACTGGTTTAAGCACATATTTGAAGGATAATCAAAATAAAATGACAATTTAATAAAAACAATTAATTTGTTTATAGGTAAAATTAATATTGATTATTAGTTATTATAATCTATAACATTCTTGCACTCATTAGATCTGGTTCATAGAGATATTAGATTAGATCATTATTATATGAATGGATTATCAGTCAAATTAATTGATTTTGGTTTGACCGAAAAAGAAAGATATTATTTAAAATATGATAAAGATGATTATATATATAGTGCCATTTATTAATCACCAGAATTTTTCTTAAATAGATCAGAATATACAACAGCAACTGATGTTTGGTAATTAGCTTGTGTTTTTTATTTTATTTTGAATGGAACAACTTTATTTTAATGTATAAAAATTTATTATTTAACTAGGCACTAATAGTAATGATTTAAAATAACTTTAGTAAAATCAATCCTATATTTAAGAATAAATAGAAAAATAGATTATATCTAATGAGTGGAAATAAACTATGAAAAGAATGCTTCATCCATAACCAAGTTTAAGGGTTTCTCTTTAGGAAGTAATGGAAATATTAACAAAAAAATCCTCTGCTATAATAATTACAAAATTTTAATAACCTAATCCTAATGTTGTTTCATAACAATAATTTCCAAATACTTTAAAAAATCAATTTCCATAATCTTAAACCAAATAATTCAATTAAGAAATTTAATAAATCTAAGTGTAATAACAATAATTTTCTCTGGTTCTATAAATTAATTAACTGATATTAGCCTTAAATTAACCTAATAATTTAAATTAATTATTATAATAAAAAGAATAATCAATGTAATCATTAGTATTTTTAAAAGAAACTATATTTAAAATATAAAACTAATTAGAAAATAATAATAATTTTGTATAACCTATGAATATTATTGATATTAACTTAGAAATATAATAAAAAAAATAAAAAGAATTTCCTCCTATTGTTTAATAAAAGTTAGATGAAATAAAGAAAAGATTTTAAGAATTTGAGGAAAAATGTATTTCTATTTAAGAAGAGCAAGTACTAAATTAGAAATTATAAATAATAAATGAAGAATTAGAAATACTTAAAAATAATATTTAGAAGGTAGATAATACAAAAGAAAATTATTAAAAAATCTAAAAACAGGTTGATCAATTAAAAATTAAACAATAAGATATGATAAAACAAAAAATTTTAGAAGAAGAGTTAAATTATCTTTAAAATCTAAATTTAAGTCCAAAAAAAATAGAGCCTCTTTAGAAGGAAGTTGAAAATACTTATTTAAAGATCATCAAATTAGAATAGCAAGCTAATACATTTAACTACTTACAAAGTTAATAACTAAAGTAACAAATAACAATTGAAGATTTAAACTAATAGATCTCAACATAAGCAAATTTAGAAAATGAGATGAATAAATAAAAGGAGGAAATATTGGAATTAAAAGTGAAATTAAAATATTTAGATCTTTTGAAGTCTGAAATACAGAAGAATGAGAAAATTATACAATAAATCGGCACAGAAATTAAAAAATTATCATAAAATCCATAAAAATTAGAGGAATAATTAAAAGAAATTCAAGATCTTAATATTCAGTTAAAATAATTATAAGATATGGAAGTAGAAATAAAAACAAATAAAGAATTAATTAATTAAATAAAAACTAAACTCAAATAACCCCCTACTTAGTATAATTTGAATAAATAAGCAGAATAGTTAAGAGTGGAAATTGCAAATCTAGAAAAAGAATTAAAATAATTAGAAGAAAATTAACAAAATATATTAAATCTTAGTGAATAAAAAAAGTAATTAATCGAAGCTAAGAATTAAATATAAGGTTAAACATAAGAATAATAAGAAAAAGAATATCATTACATACGATATTCTAAAAAATGAGAAATATTATATTTATTTTTGTAATTAATATAAATATTATATAAATTTTTAATATTATCTTTAAAAATAATGATTGATTTAATTGAATAATATAGAACAGAAGATATTAAGCGATTATCACAATTGTTTAATAAGCCTATCACTTAGAGACTTATGGAAGATTATTTTAAACAGAATGAAAAGGCTATTGAATTTTATTAAGAGTAGAATAGGCTTTATTTAAAAATTGAAGGAATGCAAGAGTGTGAAGTTTAACCAAAAGAGTTGATTGAGTTATAAATGAGGAATGAAGAGTTGGAAAGATAAAATAGAGATTTGTATACAGAAGTTTAAGAAACATCTAAATAATTAAGACATTTGAAAGAATAGAGTGAATTATAATAATAATGTATAAAGAATTTAGAAGTTGAAAAAGTAGAATCATAAAATAAGATTTAAAAACTTGAAGACATTCTAGAACAAAAGAATAAAGATATAAGAGAAATAGTTGAGAGCAGAGATAAATTAATTGTAGAAATTGAATAATTAACAATTGTGAGAAGTTAATTAGAAGAAATGATGTTGAGAGAAAAGATGAAAATTTTAGAATAATTAAATGAAATAAATGAATTGAATGAAAGTGTATAAAGATAAAAAAGAGTATTAGAATAGGATTAAGATAGATTTAATAAATAATATAAAGATATTTAGACTTAAGGTAAATTTTAAACTTTAGCTCCTTTGGCAACAGAATAATAATTAGCAAAGAATGCATTCTTAGATGATATACCTTAAATGGTTGTAAGAAGGTTAAATAAGTTTCATAATGTAGAAATTTATGCTATTGCATAAAATTTAAATGGTACTTTGGTTGCTACTTGTGGAGGAGATAGAACAATTAGATTATATGATCCATTTAATTTAACTTAGGTTTCATAATATTAAACATCTTCTGATGAAGTTTTTACTAGTATTGAATTTTCACCTTCTTAAGATTGTATTCTAGTATCTTCAACAGATAATTCTTGTTAATTATTTTATATGTAATAATGGAAGTAAAAAATGAGAGGAATTGGACATGTTGATTAAGTTACTTGTTCAACATTTTTAGGTGGAGATAAAGATTCTTGTGTTTCTGGATCTAAAGATAGATAAATAAAATTATGGAATATTAATAATGCATTTTGTACCAGAACTTTATCAACTGGAAGTTAAGTATTATCAATAATTAGTGAACATAATGTACCTGTTATTGTTTCAGGACATAGAGATGGATCAATTAGAGGATATTCATTAAAAAGTGATCCAAAACCTATTTTTTAAGAGAAATCCTTTTTTGATGATTCAGTTACATCTTTATGTATTTCATAAGATAATCATACATTGTTATGTTGTTCAAAGGAAGGATACTATATTAAGTCTTATGATTTGAGAATGAATAAATTATTGAAGACTTATGAACATGATAAGTATATGAATAGTCATGATCATAATATGATTTCATTTGGACCAGATGAGAAATATATTATTGCTGGAAATTGTATTATTATTTATTTTATATTATATAGCTGATAGCAGTCTGATTTCTTGGAATATTAATGGTAGATTTCATAAGTAATTAACAAAGGGTCAACATGAAGGAGTTGTTCTATGTGTATCATTTCATCCAGTATCTGGACAAATGTATTCTGCAGATACTCGTGGCAATTTAGTAATTTGGAAATGATTATATATGTTGTTATGTATTTCATTTTAAATATTTAATTATATATATATATATAATATATGTCAAATTTTCACTTTCTTATTGATTGTATCTCCTGCAATCCAAGTTTGTATTTATTTTTAACATTTTATAAATGCTTCATATTCTATGTAATCTACAATGATTTAATATTTCTCTCCTTCTATCTCAATGAATGCATTAGGAGATGTATTTTAAATCATATGTACAATAAGTCCAATTTATTCAGGAGCCAATTATTTTAGATTATTAGAAAATTCAACTTTGTCATTGTAACTCACTTAATCTTAAGGTTCTTCTTAAAATACATCTGCTCCTGCATCTTTTTATTTAGGCACTAATTATGGTAGATTAACAAGTGGTAAATAGTTTCTAACATTTTTCTTAAATAATCTCTCTAATTTTTCTGCTAACTTAGTAATCCACTTTATTATTTGTAATAATATATACACTTTATGAACCATTATACAATTTGCAATTATCCCAAATCAATTAGATATCATCCAAACATTCCTCTACTGTTTTATATATATTGCTATTTAATTTCCTTTATACAGTGCCAAGATCCATAGGTTTTTTAACAATAGTAATATAATCATGTAAATTTAATGCTTTGTAATCCACAGGTTGTCTGAATTCCACACTATCATTTGAATCTAATAATTATTGAACTATTTAATTTAAACGCCTTTATTCTTCTTTATTGAGTGGTGTTTATGTTGTTTTCATCATAAATAATTTAATATATAGTTAATTTTTAGTGGGAAAATAGAATCTCTTCATATTATTTATATATATCATATTAAATCTCACATATTTTGACTTAATAAAGTTTTATCCTATCTTATCTATTTATACAAATATATGCCATAGAAACAAAATCCTACAATCATGAGTATAAAAATTATAGTAAGTGTAGTCATCCAAACAGGTACTCTATATTCTACCTAATAAGATATTTTAATATAATACAATAGGATCTATCTCAATATCACAATCTTTCTAAAAGTCACCCTTCTAAGCTTAGATTATTTCCTTTAATTCCTTATACATGCATTTAGTTGAATTCTTATTACACAAATTGATCTCTGTACCATTATAAAGTATTTTAAAATATGGTTCATTTGTAGTGTCTTCTTACCACAATTCCCAAATAATATTTGAAGCAAATCCTGGATATGTATAGATACAATTCTTATTCTGTACTTCCTAACCAAGATAAACTTGAGCCATGCATTCTGCAGATGTAATATTCAATGCAGATGCTATCAATTATACTGTTACATCATGAGCTGAATATACAACATATTTAAATGATTTTTTATTTTCATCTTTACTTAATGCTTATTCTGTAAACTCAAAGAATTGATCAAAGAATGGAGCTGATTGAGTTGAAATTTATCTAAAAAATATATATATATGTATATACTTCCAAGTCTAATATAATTTCAATGCAATTGTTAATGAATATGTAGCATCTGCTTTATCATAGGTTTCTTTTTTTAAATTAGTAGGCATAGGATAATCATTATAAATACTTGAATAGAATGTATCCATGTATTCAGATAAATTGAAGATTGTAAAATTATTTGGATCTATATTCATTTCATTACAAAATTCAATTATTGTATCATGAGCTTTCATACTTACATTTTTTACAAGTTCTGTATGTTGATTCTCAATCTAAAATCTGGCAGCTTATGCACATTAAGGTGATCCATAAGCTCTTAATTGAATATCAGTAAGAGCAGCTCTCATATGAATTGGAAGAACTTATATCTTATACTTAATTGCATCTTTTCCAATATCAGCATCTGGATTAGCATTTGGATTAGGTGGTTTAAGGAATGACTCTTCTACATTAGGAACAATTGGACCATTATTTGAATACATTCCTTAGAAATTACTCATTGCACTCATTATTGTACGATTTACATCTGTAGCATAAATTGTTATTTCTGATGCATTAAAAGTTTCACTCAATAATTTGTTTTTTACAATGTATTTCTCTCTCATCCATTGTCCTAAAACATAATGTTACCTCATTCCAGTAGGTGTTAAATAACCCTCAAGCATTTCGTGACTTTTGAAATACATACAATTCCAATTACAATAGATTGGTGTTCTAGCACCATGTCTCCATAATGCTTAAATTTGAATCAATTTATCAGCTTAAATCTAGAATACTAGAACCACTAATAAAACTATAAAGAACATTAATCAATAAAATATTGTATAAAAAATAGATTATTTATACTTTTTATAAATTACTTATATATAAATATATATAATTAAGTAATTTTAATGATGATTTAATGAAAATTTATAATTATAAAAATCATTAACATCAATTAATGTTAGAATTTGAAATCAGATATCTGAAATTCCAATTATATACAATATGTAAAATGAATTACTATAATTATATATGAAATAAAATAAATGATAATTTAATAATTATAAGAATTAGTATATTATTTATGAAGCTTATAATTATATATATATATATACAATTCATTAATAACGTATTAGAATGAATTATTAAATGATAATAATATTTAAGTATTGATAAGTCTATAAAATTTGAAGATTTATAGAGTATTTTTATTTAAGTTTAATATAATTAAATTTTATTACAATTATTATTAAAGGAATATATGATCATTATAATAATTTTTTATTATTGTAATGTATTATTACAATTAAAGAATACCAGTTCCGTTACAGAGAATAGAATTCAAACATATTCTCTCAGGTTTACAGAAGCATTCACAAAGTTAGGATGAAATAAATTAGAGGCCTTTAGCAACTAGAAAGTATTGATCAATAAGCATATAAGAAGAAACATAAAAAAACCTGAAGTAAAATTCTTATAGGACTTATAAAGAAATGAGAAACATGATTAATAATTATTACAAACAACAGATACAATGTGGGATGATCGAATTTTATAAAAATTAGAGAAATTGAAAAAGTAACCTAATGAATTCTTTGAAAAGATTCCAAAAGAACCTATTACATTAATGAATTCATCTAAAATAAATAAATTTTTTGAAATAAGATTATTAGCATAATCAAAAGAGGATGTTTAAAAAGGTTCAAGAGAATCTTAAAGATAATTGAATTAAATATAAGAGGTGGCAGTTAAAGAATTATTGAATAAGTATCCACATTAGTTCAATTTTACAACATCTGCAGATGCAAGAAAGAAAAAAGAAGTCTTAGACACAAAGGATAAATATATGAAATTATTCTTTGTTAGAAATTGTTCAACAAGTATGAGTAAATCTAAAGTCAATAATAAATATTTACATAATAGTGATGATTAATAGAAATATATGGAAAATATTGAATAAATATAAGAGAAATAAAAGAATAAAAACAATTTATCATTTTGTACATGGAACAAATTATAAGAATTAGAATGTCCAGGTTACTGTTCTTTTATAAAATAATTGGCATTTAAAAATAAGTTATAATAGAGTTGTTCTTAATAAAAAATTGACTCTTATAACTTAGTAAATGAATGATATTATATATATATATTAATTTTATAATTTATTTATAGTAATGGAGGATAAGTGTAAATTACATTAGAAAGATATCACTCATATGTATATTTATATATATAAAAGATAGTTGTATACATCCAGATTGTTTTAAATATAAAAGATTATGTAGTGATTGTATAGTGAATCATGAAAGCAGACATAAGAAAAATTAAATATATTCAAATAAGCAGTTTACAATAACAATATAGGAATGTAAATAATAAGTGGAAAAGAATTTGAATACTGTTAAGGAAGAATTGGAATTAGCAGAAAATAGAGCAGCAAATGCATTAATAACATCAGTTAATAGCAATATCGATGAAATAATATTAGAAATAGAATCAATAAGATAATAGATTCATAAATTATTTGATAAATATATCCAAGGATTAAGAGATAAATTTGAATATAAAGTAAAATAGAGTATACATGCTTTATATGATTAAATTCAAGGTTAATTAACATAGGTTAGACAATTTTAAAATGATATCAATTCAATTGATACTTAAAAAAAAGTAATGTCAACAGATTTAGATTATTAAGTGTAATATTAAAAGAATAGATTGGAATCACTTATATATTAAAGAGCTAATTAAAAGTTTTATGGTAGAATAGATGATGATGTTGCATTACATTTTATTGGAGTGATTCAGAAAGAATTAGAATAATTAGTTATATATGAAAAAAATAAATTAAGTTCATAAATAGAGAGTCTTAATTAAAGAACTATATAGGCATAATAAACTAAATAAAAATCTATAAAGAATTTCTAAAAGTTTTTAAGTTATGCTCCTGAAAAATTAGATGAAATGAAAAATACAATGTAAGGTACTTAAGAATATTCATTTTATCGATCATGGTTACATTATTTTGAACCTGGAACTAAATTTTTATATTATTTAGATTTAAAACAATAAAATCCATAAATAACAAAAGTTGAACTTGAAATCAATTTTCTTATATCTTAAGGTAGTAGATCTATTTTGGCTTCAGATGGTTAAATATATTATTTTTCAGGATATGATAATGGTTAAAATGATGATGAAAATAAAACTATATATTAATATGATCATCCATAATTAACATTCATTAAAAAGACTAGAATGTATACTCTAAGAAAGAACTTTTCATTATCTTGTACAGTAGATAAAGATATATTTATTATTGGAGGTTAAAATTATAAAGAAGGTTGTTTAGCTAAATGTGAAAAATACAATATAAATACTAATCAAATTACATTAATTAAGTATAATTTAATTTATAATTATTAGTCATTTAACAGAGTTATCAACTTTACATTCATCATGTACATATAATAATAAATTAATTGTTAAATTTGGTGGATTGATTGCTAATACTGAAGGAGAAGATTTAAAAAAATAATGTTCAGGCTTATTAGAATTATATTTTATAGAATAAGATTGTTGGGAAAGAGTAGAAAACACTACTAATCATACATAATATCCATTACATACTATTTTATCAACATCTATTTAAATTCTTAATTCTAATATGATATATATATTTGGTGGTTAAATACTATAAAAATAATCATTTTAAACTGTTAATCAAGGATTTATGATTCAAATTGAAGAAGAAGAAGAATTTGATTAAGATTAGATAAGTATTTTAATATTTATTATTAATTTAGAATTTTAACCAAAATTATATTATTAATTATAACATCCAATACCATAATAAGCACATTTTTTAACACAACCCATTTACTATTCTAACAAAATAATGTGTCTATTAAAAGATGGTTAAATTATTAGATCTTGTTATGAAAAGAATAAATGGAAACCATTTTGATTATTTTGAGTTATTTATAATATTAATAAATAATAATTCAATGTTTTTTCTAACATCTTCAAAAAAAATTTATAAATACCTATCAAAAATGTCATGGATCATTTGATAAAAAATAAAAATTAACTTAAATAATTTTATTTATAATATTATTATAAATATACCTATAAATTTTCCATTAAATTGAAACAATATAAATATTTATTCTAATGAAACCCATTAGAAATATATAGTATTAAAAAAGAAGTATTAATATATAAAATCTATTTCATTCAATATATATATAATTTGATTTTAAGTTAATTAATATTATTATATTATCTGTTTGTAAATACTAAATAGAAATGCTATAATAAAAGAATGCTGAAATTGATGTGTCTTAATTTGAAGATAAACTCCTCTATATCTCTTCAAAGTGCAATAAAGAAAATGCACTTAATACATAAATTAAACAAAATGACATGAATGAATAACTAAAAAATTTAAATACTTTTGAGTTTAATGGTAATTAACATACATTCAAAAATTAGAAGCAAACATTGAAGAAAAACCTAAAGATAAATAGATTGTCACTCTTTAAGCTAAAACTTGTCGATATATACCCTTAAGAAGTGGTATTAAATAATCACTCTTTGAAGATTATCAATATAGATAAATAGATGAAAATACTGAATTAAAGAAGAAAGGAGACTTACAAATAGATTAATTAGGTTTTAAAGAGATTTATAAATATTAATTATTTGATTAACAATTAGATAATTAGATTCATAATTTTAATTGGAAATCTAATAACCTTTTTCATTATGATATTAAAAAATAAAAGAAATAACTCAATTCTTCACTTTTATTAACCTATAATAATTTAATGGAATTATAAGAATCTCTTTAAAATGATTCAAACTATAAATAACATCATAGGAAGATTAATATTAATCCTATTAAAGTTTTGGATGCACCTCAATTATAAGATGATTTTTATTTAAATCTAATTGATTGGAGTTCATAGAATATATTATCAGTTGCTCTTTAATCAAGTGTGTATTTATGGTCAGCAATAAATAATAAAGTTACAAAATTTTGTGATTTTAGAAATACTGATATTGTTTGTTCTTTGACTTGGGCACCATAAGGTAATTAATTAGCCATAGGTACTGAATCAGGTTCAATCTAAATATATGATCAATAGAAAATGAAAAGAATTTCAATATTATAAGGACATACATCTAGAGTTGGATCTTTAGCATGGGCTGGATAAGTAAATATTAAAGATATAAATATTAATAGACATTATGTTCAGGATCAAAAGATAAATCAATTTAACTTTATGATTTAAGATAATAGAAAATTATAGGGAAATTAGAAGGTCATAAATAAGAAGTATGTGGTTTGAAATGGTCTCCTGATGAGTATTAATTTGCTTCTGGAGGAAATGATAATAAATTACTTGTATGGAGATTAGGTTCATAAGTACCAATAATTAAATTTAATTAACATCAAGCAGCAGTCAAAGCTATAGCATGGTCTCCTCATAAACATGGTTTATTATGTTCTGGTGGTGGGACAGCAGATAGAGCTATAAGATTCTTCAATACATCAACAACAGAATAATTAGATTGGATTGATACAGGATCATAAGTTTGTAATTTACTTTTTAGTAAAACTATAAATGAATTTATATCTACACATGGATATAGTATGAATTAAATAATATGTTGGAAGTATCCTACATTAGAAAAAGTATAAATTGAAATTGAAATTAGGTATCCACATTAATTGGTCACACTTCAAGAGTATTGTTCTTAGCAATGTCACCTGATGGAGAAACTATTGTAACTGGAGCTGGAGATGAAACATTAAGATTTTGGAATATATTTCCTAAGAAAGAAGAATCACAATTATCATAAACACTTTTAATACCATCTAAAATAAGATGATATTTTATTATTTACTCATTAATAATTAATTATCTTTAATAAAATATTATATATTTTTAATTAATATATAAGATATTTCACAAATTGATTTATCATTTATTAGAATTATAGGTTATATATATAATTAATATAATAATAGTCTTATATTTTTTCAATATTAAATATTATTAAAAGGTTACTATAATGAATTTTCAACCATTTGAGAATGAATATTGATTTATAAGATGAAGAGCATCCTGATTTTATTAAAATTTTAATATTAATTTACATAAATTAAAATGATGCAGATATTTGATATTAGTGGACCTATGAAACCAAAAAATGAAAATGAAAGTCTTTTTCCATCACTTTCATTTAAAGAAAGATTAATGGGATTTGCATTTTGTTCTGTTTTAGGTAAGAAATATATTTCATATTTATAAGGATATTTTATCTAAATATTAAGTTTTGGATCTTTTATTGGAATTTTGGGTGGTAGTCCAAATAAATTTGCACTTACTTATAGTTTAGGAAATATTTTAGCATTATTTGGGTAATCTTGAATACTAATCATTAATAGTACAGCCTTTCTTATAGGATTTAAGAAATAATTTGAAAATATGATTGACAAAGAAAGAAAAATAACATCCATTATCTTTGCTTCTTCTTTAGTAATGATATTTCTATCAGTTTATTTATTTAAATCAAAACTTCTTGTTTTGATATTTTTAGTGATTGAATTCTGTTCATATACATGGTATGTGGCCAGTTATATTCCATTTGCAAGAGACTGCATTAAAGGTTGTTTAAAGAACATAATAAAATAATGATTTATAAGACATTTGAATTTATTGTAATACTTTTATTTATTATTCTGTATAATGATGTATATTATATATTATATTTAATACTAATTTATTAAATAATAAATATATTATATAATAAATCAAATAAATTCTTTTAATTTTAAAGTAAACTTTATTTAATATATAACTAATAATTTTACTTGAATCATATATTAGCACATGTTTTATTTCTTTATTATTATTATTAACAATAATAATCATTAATATAATTGATACATAAAAATTGATTCCTTATTTTAAAGGTAATTCAATATTATATAGTTTTATAACATAAAAAATAATTAGGATAAGTAATAAAATATTTGATATATACAGAAATAAATTTATTTTACAAAATATCATTGAATGTTATTGTCAACTTCTAAATTATCAACTTCTAAGTTATCAACTT